TAAGAAATGTACGGCACTTTTTTGCCTAAGTTCAGATGACTCAATTTAGCTATCGAAAAGAAAAAATAATCAGCTGTAAACTGAGCACAATAACGTACAAAAGATAGGAAATTGTGGAGAGCCATGCTCTGCCACAAGAGACACAGTCACATGAAAGAAAATCTTTCCTAAAATCTCATATTTTCACGCAATTACTATTACTAAACCTGTCTCAAGCATTTTGACACAAACCTGCTGCGCACCAATTTTGGCGTTACCAATTTCAAAGAACAATTCCTCAAGTGGAATGCATCTTTCTATTGACAACTCTGCAAAAATATGCAATTTTTGCCTACGCTCATGCGTTTAGCATTTATATCGATAAAACGAAAATTGACATAACAGTGCTTATAACAAAAAATAATATGATAAATAAACATGAAATTTCGTTCGCAAACCAAACAGAAAAAAAAATGGTGGCAGGTAATCGAATGCGAAGCTGCAGTGAAGAGAAAACGCAAAATAATCAATATGGCCGACGTTTAGGCGCCAAAACAAAATGGAAGCTTTGCAACCGGAAATTACCCCGTCTCCATTTTGCCACCTCGAACTGAAATGACTTTGCCATGATCATTTAGTGGATGGTGGCGCGAACCTATTCCCAAGACATCGTTGCGTGGGCCGAACAATTTGGATCATTGTATTTTTAATCCGTCGATCGCATCGCTTTAGAAAAGTGCGTGAACGAACGTGCTAGAAAGGGCTTTCTTTGACAGCTATTTTTGACAAGCTTATGTCAGGCAAAAATTCCAGATACTTTAAAGACACTGCTGCGAGAATTTATCTCGGTACCTTTATGATGTGTTTCGAACGAGAAAAAAAAAACATTTAAATACAGAGAAAGGTATTTTAAACTAGATTAAAAATCAGGAATAAGAAGGTAAAAAAAAAACAAAGATGGAGAAAGATAGAAGTGAACGACGTAAGGGTCAAATTATAACTAAAAAAAAGACATGTCAATTAAAAATGTGAAAGGAATCAAACAGAGTAGTAAATAAAACTGTGAGGCAAACAACTTAAAAAGTAAGGCAAAAACTTAAAAAGAAAACAGCAAGCACATAAAAAGTAAGGCAATAAAAATAGTAAGCGAAATATACGACGAACATGTTAGAAAGTAATAAAAGGATTTAAAAAAAAAATACAAGCAAATAAAAATAAATTTTAAGGCAAACAAATAAAAATGTAAAGTAAGCAAATAAAAATGATAAGGCAAGTAATTTAAAAAGTAAGGTAAGAATATTAAAAATTCAGCAAGCACATGAAAAGTAAGACTGGGAAAATAGTAAGATAAGTATATAAAAATGCAACGCTAGCAAGTTAGAAAATAAGGCAAGAAAATTTTAAAAATACAGAGAAATGAAAAAGTAATTAAAAATTATTAAACCAAAGAAATAAAAATGTAAAATAAGCAAAAAATCGAAATTATAAGGCGAGGAATTGAAAAAATAAGCAAATAAATTTTTAAAAATACGATAAGCAAATAAAAATAACGACAAGTAAGTGCTAAGGCAAGCTACTTAAAAAGCAAGGCTAGAAAATTAAAAAAAAGGTAAGTCCAGCAAATCGTAAGGCAAGCAAATAAAATTTGAAGTTAGCAAATAAAATCGTGAGACAAACAATTTAAAACTAAGGCAAAGACATTCAAAAGGCATCAAGCAAATATAAAGCAAAGCAACTATGTACTAAAGCAAGCAAATAAAGATTTAAGGCAAAAACTTTTAAGGCAAAGAAATTAAAAAACACAAGCAAATTAAAACTAAGACAAACAAACAGTAAGGCAAGCAACCAAAAATGTTAAGCAATCAAGTAAGGCAGAGAAATTAAAAATACGTAAAGCAGATGAAAAAAAGTAAGGCAAAGATTTTTTTAAGGAAAACAA